CACACACACACACACACACACACACACACACACACACACACACACACACACACACACCTTCAGTCTGGCTGTAGTAATGGTGGACATGCTGCAGCAGGACTGAAGGAATCATTAAAAACTGATCATTTCACAAACATCAGAGAAAACAGTTGTAAATGTCTTACCTGTTGTAGATAAACTCTGTTTTTATAAACTTAGTCTCTGTTTTTGTTCTAAACATTTTATAATATTTTCCATTTACAATATAAACACAGTGACAGTTGGTTTTAATTTTATTTCTGTAAACCACCTCAGGACCATAGACCTGATGTCTGACGACCCGCAGCGGGGTCCTGAACCCTCTTTTGAGAAACCCGACTGAAACAAAAAAATACTTTAATCTTTAAAATTTGATTTGAACTTTTAGACATTTACAGCTTACATGATTTTCATGAATTTCCATAGTTGTTCACAAACAGAAACAGCAGCAGCAGGTAGCTGTAGCATCCAGAGATCCAACACAGCAGAAAGTTCTGAGTATCTCAGAGTACTGTTGGCAGTAAATCAGTGTAAGAACTAAAATATCTCTGACTGGAGTCGATTAAAACAACTTCATGACCAAGAGTCACCTGCAACAGGTAAGATATTTACAGCCTTTAACAGAAGTCCACTTCAAAATGGCCGCCCTGTTATCTGCTCCATCAGCACCTAACCAGCTGACCTGCCCTCTGAACGGACCTGATTATCACAGAGATAACGAGCCTAACGTCGTTACTGATCACTGATCACATGTCGGCAGATAAACAAAAACAAACAAACAAACAAACAAACAAACAAACAAACAAACAAACAGTCAGATCATCAGAAACCTGCTGTCTGCCTTTAAACTGAAATTAATCTGTTTTTCTATAAATAAAACAGATAATTAGTTTGTTCTGAAATGACCCAGTTAGCTTAATGTTTCTGTTTCAGGTCAGAACCTCATTAAACTGTTAATTTATTAAAACTGTTACTTTATTAAAACTGTTACTTTATTAAAACTGTTACTTTATTAAAAACGGTTACTTTATTAAAACTGTTACTTTATTAAAACTGTTACTTTATTAAAAACTGTTACTTTATTAAAAACTGTTACTTTATAAAAACTGTTTTACTAACTGAGGCCTGATGGATTCTTTATTAATCAGGTTTATCATTTATAACAAACATGAATATTTAAGATTATATTAAATATTCAGTCTAAAGGTTTGTTTTTATTTCTGCTGCTTTGTGATATTTCAGCTGTTGAAGCTTCGGCTCATTCAGCTGATAGCTGCTGCCACTTTACCTTTCTGTAACTTTGATATATTTTAAATATTTAAATGTACAAATATTTCCCCACAGAAACACACACATCTCTTCAGCTCCTTCAAAATAAAACGTCCTTTTTTGCTGCTTTGTTCTATTATTTGGCTTCTTTCAGCTGTTTTTCAGCTTGTTTTCAGCTGTTTTCAGCTGTTTTCAGGTTGAAAAAAAGCTTAAATTATTTGCAGCTGTTTTTTAAACTCAGTATTTTTCTGACCCGGTCCAAACATCTGTTTCATCTGCAGAGGTTTAATCTCTCAGTTCGGTTCGGGTTTGAATCGAACCGGGTCAAGCAGAGGCCCGGATGGAGTTTGGACCGAACTGGGCGGCTCCCCCTGAGCCAGATCATTTTTATGAGACACAAAGGACAAACCAGACCTAACCGTGCTATTTTTAACACAACAGCTCCAAGTCCTGTTTTACAGAAAATAACCCGGGTTAAGCTGCTGCACATCACCAAACCCGGTTTATTTAAMCCGCCTTAAAGATAAGAATGAGCTCTGACACATACATTATTCYACAGATGATTACCTGACTTTAACATGTTAACAAGATAAACCGAATATATTTGGTCTTTATTTCACATCACTGATGTTGTTAGCTGTCGAGCTAACGAGTGGAGCTGAAAAACACGAAAGCTAATATAAATTATTAAACAAAACAGATGAAAATACAGCTTATATACCGCTCTGCCTCTGTCCTAACATGCATGTTTAAACTTTCACAGAAAATATAAATCCGTTTTCTTACCTCGACGGGTTTTTTCAGAAAAGCTAACGGAGCGAAGGCTAACCTGACGAATCGACCCTGACGGTTGTTTGAAGGGCGGGGCGCTCTGTGGGAGGAGTCTTCTCCTCAACGTGACGTCATCCTGCAGCTGTACGGAGAGAGCCGATGGCTGCCGGAAAAACACGATAGCGGCAAGACTGTCCGAATCTTACCGGAAAGAGCCGAAGTCAGTTCTGCATCATCACGTGAAAAACACACACACACACACACACACACACACACACACACACACACACACACACACAC